TAAATCACACCTGAATGAAGCCATTCAGAGTGTATTTTATCTACATTTTTTAAAACTTTGTTTTAATCTGTAACATACCCTCTGCACAGAGACTTATTTAGCATTAGTTTTTTCATTGCCTAATTTATTTTATATGTATTTTTTAAAACATATTTTTTTACAGTCCAAAAAATGGCAATGCTACTGAATAGTGAACCAAGAGCAAATTTATGAGAAATGTGGGCCAAGGAACATTCTTACAAAGACAGATATCGTTACTATATATAAAATCATAAATTGCTTGAGAATCAAATATAAGATGCTTATACTAAAAAAGGATAAATTCTATACTTGATTATATTAACAGAAACAGCATGTGTCAAATCAGTACAATAATCCTGCTCTCAGCAATGCTCAAGCTTCAGTGGCAGGACTGTCTGGATTCAGTCTGGGACATGACATTTTAAAAAGGCAAACTGAAAACCAAGCAGATGAGAAGACAAAGATGACAGAAATGGCTTAGAAAATATGATTCAGAAGGGTTTATGTTTTGCATTCTTTTCACATGTATAAAGAAAACGGAGGTTGAGAAATATCCCTAAAAGAAAGATGGAGTCAAAAAACCGGCAGTTTCCTCCAATACTAAAATTGCTGTGTTTATCACTTTCTGTTTAGTAATTTGAGTGAAGAAAAGAAAGATGAACAGTCAGGAAAGTGAGGTTATCTTCCCATTTGTTATCATATAAACATCATATAAAGATGTCATAACTATGGAACGTGAAGAGGTGTGTACTAAAGGCAGTGTGAACGCATGAGTATTTTCATCTGTATGCAGTGGTGAGATCTGTATGTTCTGTGGATGGTAAGTGAGCACCTATTCACTATTTAATTACTTACCCTCACTATATATTTAAATACAGCACTGAATAAAAGACCATTCATTTCCTGAAAGGACACAATTTCTCTTCTAGCAATTCCAAGTTCTTATATAATGTTCAAAACTATGATTAAAATTTTACAGAAAATTAATTTCCTTTAAAAAAGCCAGAACACTTCCTTTTCTTTTGTCCTCCCTCCCTTCCTTAGAAACATTTTGCTGAAGAAAAATAAAATAAATTAAAAAAGAAACAAATCCAGTGCTAGTAAAATTAGACCCTGAATGTTTCATCTTGCCAGTCACCCATCTGGAAAGCCTTCTTAAATTCAGTTTTCATAAAGTCAGAAAAGTACTTCTGAGTACATGGACTTGAAATCTTGAATTTAATTAAACATTATTAATTCAGCATGTCTCTGTTGCATTGTGTAGCCCATAGTCGAGAAGACACTTCAGTTTTCTGTGTTAGTGCATTGTCCTAAGCACTCCATGTTTTACTGTCTCGTCATGTCCTGTAGTTAAGAACTGGTAATAGCATGAACAACCAAAGTCAGTCATTCTGGTCAAGATGGAACATATATACTACTCTTCTGGTAGTACAGGTATTATTTGCAGATGCTATGTAGATAGCGGGTAAGGAATTCAGGATGTGAGATCTCCACTGTCTGAATCTCTGCAGGGAAATTAATTGCAGAAGGGAGGAGTGATAACAACAGTTTTCTCAGAAGCTGTATTTTCTGGAGATTTTGTGCCAAGAGCATTTTCAGAGACTTCAGCTGCCAAACTTCATATGTTTCCAGTAAATGTCTGTAAAATGAGATTTTTTCAGAGACTAGTGACCTGATAGGCAAGTTTCATAAAGATGGAAAAAGCTCATCCCAAGCAAAAGACAGATCCTCTGATCTGAAGCCTCCGCTCCACCATACAGAGGATATTAGACCATTCAGATTAAATGGTTATATGATTTTATTAGCATGGGTAATAAGAATTTTTCCTTGATTCAGTTTCAGAAAATGGCTGAGCTATTTTAGCTGAAATAGCAGGAAAATGATAGCTAAAAAACGACACTCTGTATGTAGTGGGATAAAGGAGGGAAGGTCACATGCATTTTAAAGCTACAAAAGGACCTGAAAATAAGGTCTTAGAGTAAAAATCAATGGAGGACTGTGACAATAATAAGCACTATCAAGTTCACCTTTTGTTTCTATGGAATACCAGGTACCTGAGGTAAATATAACCACTTACAATCTTTTCAAAATTAAATGCTGAAAGAAAGTAGTCTAAATCGAGTGGAAATCTAACTTCAGTCCCAAAGGTGGCAATATTCACTACCTTTTTTTGGAGAGGTTTGTTTTTTTGGGTTGGTTTTTTTTTAGAAATATATGTATGGAGGACTAATATATCAATTTTGAAATCAATTTTTTGATACTAGACTATCATTTAAATTCTGATTTTCATATTATTTACATGTGAACTACCATGGAAAAGTTGTTTTATGATCTGGCAAAAGAAACTCTTACCTAATGTATGCACACTTTGCCCTCTCCCTACAACCCAGGTCCCCACACACTGACACTGATGCAATGCTCCCTTTTTGTCCTACTACCAGAGTGGGCAAGAACATTATAGAGTGAAAATTCTCAGATTAACAATAGTAACAGATGTTTATTGCTTCTGAGGAGTCTACACCCCCCAGTACTAAATTAAGTATTTTAAAATAAACAGATAATAAGACATGAATACAATGCCATATATCTGTCATACTTAAAAGAAAGTAACCATCTGGTAATTCAGGTATGTCTATTCAGTGCTGACACTGTAAACAGGATCATGAATGTTTCTATTCATGATATCCAAGAGCAGACAATAGCTCTAATGCATCATAGAGTCTTACGAAGAAATGCCTGTCTGCAGGGCCTGAAAATGTTTCTCAAAACACAAAAAGATTAATTTTTAAGTCATTGCTCATAAAAGGGAAAATTTATATAGTAAGAAAACCTAAAACAAGAAATTTACAATTACGTAGCAAAATACAGTCTTTCAGGTGCTGTGTAACCTCACACTTGGACAATTTTTGCAATTATTTCACTGTTCTTTTTTGAAGACTGTTGCAAACTTTGCCTTGTTTACTGGTTAGAAATCACTTCTAATTTTCAGAGTAGATTTATTGATGGCTAGATGAAACGTATTTGTATAAGTCTTCTACCTCCCTAATAGGCACACTTCTGACACAATTTTTAATATGTATGTAATATCAGCTGTCCATCCCCTTTGTGTCTAAATCTGTCAAACACTTTTCTTCCTCTACTAGACATTTTTCGTTCCCATTTAGGCCCCTGTGGTGGTTTAGGCCCTGCTGGGACCAGAGATCATGTTGCCGTTGTCCTTCCCCCACCCTCGGACCAAGTAGGGCACAAACCCTGGGGTTGAAAAAAAGGAGAAATTTAATACAACAGTGTAATAAATAACAACCTGAACAACAACAATAACAATAATAACAACAATAAACAGTAATAACAATAAACAAGACAATATGCAGAGAAATACATCCAGCCTGCCGTGTGTGCTTCCCTGGACCAAAGCCACAAAGAAAAGCTCCCCGCGCTGCGGCACCGGACCTGACGTCAGCATGGTGCGAATAACACGGCTGGAGATCCCTTCTCCCAACACAGGAAACTTAACCCTATCCTAGCTGAACCAGGATAGCCCTTTGCATCTCTCCAGCTGCCATCTTTCTTGAATGGGGTGACTCGGATTGTTTACGGTTTCCCAAGTGAGATCTCATCAATCCTGTGCAATAGTATGAGTATGTTTCTGTTGAAAATACCTTTCTGGACACATCCTACAATCACATCTGCCTTTTCTTCACTGTTGCATCTTGGTCTCTCACAGCCATTCTCACATTTATAGCAGGTCCTTCTCCTTCTCTATCATTTCCTCCAGATCATCTATCCAGTTTCTAATATAAATTCTTGTTACCTGTCGCCATGAAAACATGGCAGTTTTATGAATCCCATTTTACTTTTGAAGACCATCCAGTTCTTTCTGTATGAAATCCTAGTTTTCTACTTCATCAGCAATGTCCCTGATTTTATTGTCTTTTTATTTATACAGAGTAAAATAATCTTGAAAATTTGTTTTGAAAAACTTTGCAAAATCTGATTTCATTTAACTGTTGTCAAATCTAATTTTACCCCTGTATTTCTTGATCTCCAAAAGATGACCATTTTCTTCATCAATCCATTTGTTTTACTCTTTAGAGTCTCTTCTTAAATCCTGTATTCTTATAGAAATGATCTTCTTATTCTTTTTAGAACTCTTTCAATACTTTCCCTCCCCTTTCCCATGCTTTTTATCTATATATTTGCAATAGATTTTCCACTTTTGACTGAAATTCCAGTCTCTCCCCATTCTTATCCACCCAACTGACATAACACTAAAAGCTCCTGAATCAAAATATGTTCTGTTAAAGCTGACTACTTCAATCACAGCCGTGTTTTTGCCTATAATTCTTCTCACGTAGAATGAATCAACTCATACCTAATCTGGACTTTGCATACTTTTCTCTCTTCCATTTTTCTTCCCTAAACTATGCAAAACCTTCCACACATCTGTTATGGAATTTATGGAAGTTATTCTACCACGTTGTTTTTTTCAGTAACGTAATACTATATATTCTACATTAATTCACTGTCTCCGTTTTGTCCCATAGGATCCTTGAATTAAAAATCAGGCTCTAGTTCCTGATGACACTGTTGGGATTAGCTCTAGCTGTTTCCCACTGTCTCTGCTATTTACCTGACCACCATTCTCACCGTTAACAGGAGGTGCTGTTTACATGTTGCTCTTTCTCCTATCCAGTAATATTTCGTTACTGAATGTCAAACTCATTTGCCATTTCTTCTTTTACAAACAGACATAGGAATTAATAAAAACCTTTCCCAATTACCAGCCTTTGTATCCTAAACATCTCTCATCACTGAGAAGCCTTCAATGTTTCTATAGGGTACCCTTGGCAAGTCTACCTCCAGGAAGAAAGTCCTTCAAGAGGAAAGTGTATTTCCATGATTGTGTCTCGATTGTTGAATATCCTAAACCCTTGGTTATTTCAACAGCTCTTTGAAACCTTACTTTGACAGTTAAAGTTATGTCTACAAGAAGAAAATGGATCAGGTAAGAGAAGTGTTTTATAGATAAGAGAGTTGGTATCCTGACAGTGATTTATCAGGAGTCGGCAATTGAAGTTTCAAGATCCATTTTGTTTTGTCTACAACCAAGCTAAGTCATTGCAAACCATTAAAAGTTTTACTGTTACTTTTCTGCTTTGTAATATATGTTGGTTTTAACACAATCCATATAGTAGACAGAATTCAATGAATGTGATTCCAGACATGGCACATACCCCTCAGACCATATGCTGGGACAGATAATTTCTCACAGTTGACATCCAGTCACAGAAATAGTGATGTGGGGCCACACACAAGAGCACAGAGGCTTGAGGCTCATGAATGCATTGATTAAACCAAAGTCACAGTTCAAAGTGGCATTTACAAATAAATCAACAAACTCCAGGCTATTTTATCTGGAATGATCCTAAATTATTCTGCATTTTCAAACCCTTTTAGCTTGGACTAAAGGATAGACACAGTTTCAGCTACTCTTAACTGCACAATAAATACATACTTAGTATGAAATACCCACAAGATAATATTTAGCCCTAGCCCTGCAGTACTGACAACACAATTTAGGTTAGATAGTCATTCTTCAACAGCTAAATTAAGCTTTCTTCATGTGTACATGCATTTGCAGAAGCACTAGATGTTTCTTACTGAAATTACCAATAATAATATTCAACAAAATTGCTTGTTTTAAAAAACTAATTCCATTTAGTTCTTGCAATAACACATGCACTATAAAGAGAAAACAGATATAAAATTAATGCAGGACATGAAAGTAATTTTATTCCTCTTGTTTATAGCTGAAAAATAACTTTATCCATGAAAAAGAACTGATTTGATTTTCAGAAAAATTTGGAAAGCCAGTGAGAAGAGCAGAGAAAAAGTCATCAGCAAGAAAGGAGAACTATACTACAAAAAGTTGATTCCAAAAGCCTTTCTTGTGAATACATTGATACCTTTACATAATTATTCCATTATCAGAGAAAATAATGTCGCTACGTTCCTTCACTACTAAACTGAATTTACATTGTTTGCTTCCTTAGTGATGTTGATAATAGTCTGATCTGGTTACTCATTAATACCTTACTCTTTTGCTTTAAAGAAAACAGAAATATAATTTTTAAAAATTACTACAAGCCAACCCAGGTAAAATATAGACTATTTTTACACATGTGTTTAATATAAGCACGGAAAAATTCTGCTAGTGATAGATATGGTATTTTCATAGCCACAGTTGGTGAAGAGCATCAAATGCATCTCTGAAATTAGAACAGCAATGGCTAGAAAATGTCCAAAGATTTGCTTTCCTTCTTAATACATCCATGGGTTTGATCTGTGTGTACTAGGTTTGGGAAAACATTTTTCTCCAGTATTATTTAGTTCTCATAATTAGTTAGCACCTTATTCATTCCTATGTGTTGTCTATAAGCTCTATTACAAACTGTCTGGTATAACGGTCATCTTTGCATTATTCACCTCTGTTGATTATTTCCCTCTTCAGGTACGAACTGACAGAAGAAGGAAATATGAAGAAACAAAAAAACATGCTAGAACCTCAGGATCATTGAGGAATGTGCATGCTCTGATGAAATCCTGTTTTCATTGAGACATAGAAAGTTACAAAAGTTAGGTCACTTCTGATTTAAACATCTCTTGGGAGACATATGAATGACCTTGCTTAATGACATATTACTAGCTCCCAACTCTGGATGTGTAAACTGGACTTTGCACATTACTAGCCCTATTCCAACACTCCAATCTGACTGGCTGTTTTGGTTTGAACTCAGTTGGTAGCCAATCACCATGTAGCCAGTTATTTTCCAAGCTGCAAGCCGTGAAGGCAGAGATCCATGATCTCCAGGAAGAGCACATCAAGGAGCGCCAGGAACTGGAGCAGACCCAGAATGAACTTACCAGGGAGCTCAAGCTAAAGTGAGTGCCCTCAGCTCGCTGCCTGCTGTTAATGTAACAGAGATGGCTGCTTTGGGTGGGGAGTGGAGGGACTGCATTGCACGTGCTTGTGGAACGAGATCTAAACATGAAAAAACTCAAATGTTCCTCCTTTTCCAGGGCTGTATGAAGTCAGTGGGAGAGGAGAAAGTCATCCGCTACTTACATTTCTTGTGTGTTTCTCATTTTTGCGGTTGCATGTAGGCACCTGATTATTGAAAATTTTATTCCTTTGGAAGAAAAGAATAAGATCATGAACAGATCATTCTTTGATGAAGAGGAAGACCAGTGGAAGCTGCATCCCATAACCCGTCTGGAGTGAGTGTACTTCTCATCTTTCCTTGAGATGGAATTGTAAGTCACGGAAAAAAGTTCCTCTGGCTGTCAGGAACAAGGAACCCCAAAAGAGAGATTGAATTGGGCATTTCGACTGGCCTTCTGGAGTTTGTAGCTTTTTGCTGCACAATAATCATAATAAAAAAAAGTTATTTCTCTTTAGTAGGTTGAATCAAATCAGAATATGCAGTTAGGAGAGTTCTGGGAAGATAAGGATTTTTCTTCTTGATGACCCCAATAATTATAACTAAATGGTATGCAATATAATTAAAATAGTAGTAAATTCCCATCATTTTTTTCAGATAGTAAAGCCCTCAAAATAATTATTGTTGTTGTTATTATTTGAGCTGTGGCCAGATCTGCCTCTCTGCACATTAGGATCTCCACAGCAGATTTAGGAAGCTGGCTGCAGCTGAGCGCAGCTGCAGTCCGTGTAGTGAAAACACGTAGAAATCCTCCGCTCCGAGCAGGGGGCAGGTGGGGTAAGTGTCCTCCCTCGTCTCTGACTGAGGAAGGCTCTTCCTGCAGACGCAGCCTCGGTGGTTTCTGCTCTCTTGAAACATATTTC